TTTATTTTTAATTGACACAAAGTAATTATACATATTTATGGGATCCAGGATGACATTACAATACATGCTTACAATGTGTAATAAGCAGATCAGTGTAACTGGCATATCTATTGCTTTAGATATTTTGTTTTTTGGTACTGGATATTGAACCTAGGGGCATTTAACCACTGAGCAACACCCCTAGTCCTTTTCTGTATTTTATTTAGAGACAGGTCTCGCTGAGTTGTATAGCAGTTTCGCTAAATTGCTGAGGTTGGCTTTGAACTTTTAATCCTCCTGCCTCAGCCTCCAGAGCCTCTGGGATTACAGGCGTGTGTCACTGTGCCCAGCTCTACTGTCTGTGTTGGGAACATTCCAAATTCTCTTTAGTAGCTGTTTTGAAAGTCAGTGCAGGGTGGGTTGTGGCTCAGTGGTAGAGCACTTGCCTAGGAAGTGTGAGGCACTGGGTTTGATTCTTGGCACCACATAAATAAAATACAGTTATTATGTCCACCTGCAACTAAAAATATTATAAAAGAAGAAAGAAAGAAAGTCAATGCATTGTTGTTCACCACAATTATCCTACTGTGCTATGGAACATTAGAAATTATTGCTCATGGCTGGGCGTGGCAGCACATGCATATAATTCCAGCAGCTGAAGCAGGAGGATCACAAGTTCAAACCCAGCCTAAGCAATTTAGTGAGGCCCTAAGCAATTCAGTGAGACCCTTTCTCTAAATAAAATACAAAAGGGGTCTGGGGATGTGGCTTAGTGGTTGAGTGTCTCTGAGTTCAATCCCTGGTACCAAAAATAAATAAATAAATAAGTTATTGCTGCTGTCTATCTATCCCTGTACTCATTGTCTACCTTCTCTCCACCCCCTGTATCCCATAGAATTTCCTTCCTTTTAAAGCTGAATAATATCCCACTGTAGGTACATACCACGTTTTGTTGATCTATTCCTCCATTGATGAACACTTGGATTGCTTCTGCTTTGAAGTCTTATAATAACGTTGCTATAAACATATTTGTGCAAATAATCTGTTCAAGTCCCTGCTTTCAATTCTTCTGAGTATATATAAAAGTTCCCTGCTTGTTTTAAAATGATGTCTTTATCATCCACTGAATTCTATGTATTTAGGCCTATTTCTGGACTCTCTGGTATGTTCCATTGGCCTATCTAATTATGCAACAGTACTACACTGGATTAGTCATTGTATTTCACAGCAGGCTTTCATTTCTCAGAGACCAGGATTCTCTTTTCCTGGTTTGCTGGGTATGGTGGCACACATCTGTAATCCCAGAAACTCAGGAGTTTAGGCAAGGAAGATTGCAAGTTTGAGGCCAGCCTGGGCAATTTAGTGAGACCCTGTCTCAAAAATAAAAAGTAAAAATGGTTGAGGATGGGGCTCAGTGATAGAGTGCCCCTAGRTTTAACACCCAGTACTGACAGATAGAAAAAATTAAATTAAATTAAAAGTCCTGGTTTATCAGGTTTTATGTCTGAACCAAAAGCTGTGGCTAGAAAAATGGAATGCTTTTATTGGCCAGGCTTGGACCTCAAGGCCACCCCTGAAGCAGAGAGAGGGATGGGAGGGAGTGGCTGTCAGCCTCTTACTAACCCTGAGGACTCAGAATGGGGGAAGGCCTCCCAAAGGAAAAGAAAGGTGCTATTACCAGTAAAAAGGATGGATACTGAACAGGCAAAAATAACAGATATCCACCATGATGGCAAAGTCTCAGAATCTAAGTCAACTTAGGGAACAGGCACCTACCAGTTATCAGAGGTCCAACACCCTACTAACACTCCAGCCTAACCCCTGGATTATCTCAATTAATCTCTTAACAATCCCATGAAATACTTCGGTGAACTGAGCTGAGACACTTTGGTCCCTTTGGTAGATGTCAGTAGTACACACTACTACACACTACACCCCTACTGCCTGGTAAGAAGTTAGGTGCTGGGGGGCCTGGTATGGTGGTGCATGCCTATAATCCCAATAGTTTGGGAGGCTGAGGCAGGAGGATTGCAAGTTCAAAGCCAGTCTTAACAACTTGGGTAGTTCCTAAGCATTTTAGTGAGATCTTATCTCAAAATAATCAATAAAAGGCTGGGGTTTGGGTTTATAGCTCAGTGGTAACCTTGCATGTATGAGGCACTGGGTTTAATCCTCAGCACCGCATAAAAATAAATAAATAAACAAATGAAGGTATTAAAGGGGGGGGCTGGAGATGTGGTTCAGTGGTTAAGCACCCCTGGGTTCAATCCCTGGTATCAAAAAAGAAGAAGGGAGCAGTCAACATACTACATTTTGAAAAGAGGTCAAACTGAAGCCCAAGAAGTGATCCTGGGTCATTTCCCAAACAAGGAAGTCATTGATGTTAAGCAGTCTGTTGGGATGGCAGAACAGGTATGGTCTGGTAAATGCTCAACAACCAACTCTACCCCCAAAGAGTATGCATTTTTGTTTGTTTTTTAAAATATGCATTTTATGTATATGGACAAGTTTTTAAAATAAATTTTACTGTATTATAGCACAAAATTTATACATAATAGTAAAATATATGATATTATTTACTATAAATTCCATTCCTGTATTTGTGATTTTATAAATGGAATTGTAGCCTAACTACATGTATAGTTCCAACATAAAATAAAGATACATGTTGAAACCCCACTGGTTTGTCAATGACTGGAGTGACTTCTTTGTTAAATCAGATAATAGTTTTCAAATCCTATGAATATTTACAGTACTAGGGATTAGACAGGAGTGCTCTACCACTAAGCTACCTTCCCAGCCACTCACCCACACCATTTTTTTTTTTTTTTTTTGAGACAGGGTCTCACTAAGTTGCCCAAGGCTGGCTTGAATTTGCAATCCTCCTGCCTCAATCTCCCAAATTGCTAGGGTTACAGGTGTGGCCATAGCACCCACCTTACATCCTAAGAATATCTGGATTGTGCTATTCACAATGTAACAATTGCAGACTTAACACTTTTAAATTTAATCCCCATTAACATTTTCTGTATCACTTTTTAAATGTAGACAAATAAAAAAGCCTGATTTGTAGCATTTGCCAGTTTCCATAGTGTAAAAATTCCTGCTAATGTCTATTTCAAACCAGCTAAAAGTCAATAAATTAGTTGGGAACAGATGCATGCTAGAACATCACTATATATTATTTCTACCATACAGATACAATAAACAAGAAATAATCACAGGAATGTATAACAATAAAATCACCAAGGCAGAAAGCACTTGGTACTTATTGTCTCTTTTTATATTACTTTTTTTACTTATTTAAAAAAATTTTTTTGATGCCAGGGGTTGAACCCAGGGCCTCAAGGTCTCTGAGTATGCACTCTTCCACTGAGTTATGCTTCAGCCTAACTATAGGTTATTTAATTGTAAGTTTACATGACCTTTAATAATGGTAAGCTGATAATCAGCTTTCCTAAGTCAGTAGGAACACTCCACTGGGGGACAACAGAGGCAGCCTGACTGTAGGGGGATGAAATAGACCTTTCCTACCAAGGTATTAACCATGGCCAGCAAGGCACATCTTCCTGGCTTCCCCTCTTTGCTCCTGCTAAGCTCCAGGAGTTTAAGAAGCAATCTTTTTTTGCCACACCTTGGGCAAATTAATCTCTACTCCATAGCACCTTTAATTATCTTTTGTAGGACTTTTCACAATTTGTAGAATTAATCACTCTGGGTGAACTAGAAATTGTTTCTTTTCTGTATTAACCATAAGATTTGTAATGGTCAAAGCTGAGTATGGGTCTTTTTCACATCTATTCCCTTAGTCCTAGTTGCATCACTTTGCATATAGTAAGAGCTCAATAAGTAAGTATTGAATGAATGCTAAGAATGAAGGCCTGCTATAAGGATAGACAGAAAAGTTATGTGTATGTAAGGCATCATTAGAGAGTATCTCCTTGTATGAGTTTTGCTTATTTTTTTTAATGGTGCGGTCTCTGCCATTCAGGACTGAAAGGTGTACAGAGAACCTTCCCAACCTACAGTAAACTTAAGAATATTCATTTTGTGACATGACAGAACATTTGACTTATTTGTGTGTTTCTATGTTATTATCAGCAAAGGCATGAAGGAGTTTGAGTGTTCTCATCAGACTACAGACTTAATAAGGATTTCACTAGGTTTGTGAATGGTTACTCCAACTTCTAATGGGCTTTCATCCTGAGCAAGTAGTCCTCTAATGTTGAAGGTTGACAACATACCACTTATAATATAACAATAAGTATGACTGAAAATTTATAGAAAAAGTGTTTAACAGCACCTTAAAAAAAATACAGCAAATGCCCTAGTTCGTGACCATAAAGTATAAGAAACCAGCCCAACCCACACAACATCTCACTCAAAAATGAGACTCACACCCACATTTACTCTATCAGTCACTGCAAATTAAAAGGTATCAGATCGTCAGGAAGAATCAGATAGGAGTAATCAGGGTGTTGCAAGTCCTGATTACGCAGAGACGTTAATCACGTATCATGCGAACTCCAATCATCATGTTCTATCTGCCCTCCAAAAGGAGGAACAGGTAAGGATTATCCCACCTGACGATACGCGGTACTGTTGCCTCGTCCGTACTCAGTAGAATACATTCCGCTATAAACTACGGTGAGTATATAACAAGCTAACCTGATCAACTCAGCTACTTAAGGGTCTTTTAATGCTAACGCTGAATTTATTCGAAAATCTTTTAAAGTAAATTTTTTCCTTCCGCGCCAAAAAGGGAGAAATTAATTGCTCCCATAATGCTCTGCTCACGTACGTGTACCGTGCTCTGAGCGCATCATTATTTACATATCCCCGCCCACTTCCTTCCGCCTGACATCTACCGTAAAAATCAAAGTAGAAGCGATACTGGTTATCTTACCGTCTGTAAGACTGAAACACAGCCTTTCTTTTCTCCAGCAGTTTAACTACCCCAATTGTCTCCTGCAAATTGCATAAGTCTTGCTCTTACCATAAAATATATTTTATTACAAGGCACTAAGGAAAACGCTAATCTCGTATTCGGGAGATAATTATCCCACTGCCATCCTTTACCAGAAATAGTTTGAGAGGAGAGGGAGAAGAAACTGAAGCCTATGCTTTCCTTCTTCCAGGAACGGTTAGCAGCTTCTCACTCCTCCATCCTTCGTCCTTACTTTCTTTCCCGTCATGAAGGTGATCAAAAAGGTTTCTTTTTTAGACCAAGGACAGCAACGAATAAAGCCACTTCAGTGATAGCTGGGAGGGCACTGTGGAAGGTAAGAAATGAGTTCAGGGTCCCTTCAAACCAGAAACTCCACCCCCTAGGTCTAAGGAAGTGGGATGAGAATGAGGGATGCAATTTCAAAAGACTACAAGATGTTGAGTGGATATGGTATATCATACATGAGGAATGCCCTATATAGGGGACACCTTCAGATTAGGGGTAATCCTTCTTCTTCCCCTATTCCCCAAAGATTGAATGCTATCACACCTGCAGAAGACAAAAATGTACCAGTATGTGGTACACTCCCAGCGCTCGAATATGAAGAAGGATAGAGCCACAGATGCACTACAGTGAGCCCCAATAGCTTGGAAATGCACCAGAGTCAAGGAAAATCTTTGGATCCACAGGCAGTGATGGACCCGAAATGGCTGTCAGTGAGGCTGGCACCTGAACCGGAGTTAATCTCTCTCTTTCCTCATCGTATTGCAAGGACCACAGTCAGCAGCCCTGTCTCTGAGTTTTAGGACAGTAATATGACTAGAGGCCAGAGCTGAGCTTGGCCAGATGTGACCACCATTGCACACCTAGGGATCAGCCTGGACCCTTTAGGTGAGGTAAGGTAGGTAGGTTCTCTACCTACCCCAGTCCACACTCTGCTGGCATCACCCTCCAGAGCCATCATCCTCCTGGTCCACATTTCAAAAGTAAGAGCTTCCCTAATCCATGTGCCTCAATTCCTTGGCTTTATATCTTTACACCCTCCTTTGGAATTGTTTATCACTCTTACAGATGCATGTCTGTGTGTCTGCCTCCTTCCATGTGGGAATCTTCAGTGCCCAGTGCATAACAGGGCTTAACAAATTTTTTTGATAATTTATTTTTTAGTTATAGTGGACACAATATCTTTATTTTATTTTTATGTGGTGCTGAAGATCGAACCCAATGCCTCACGCACGCTAGGGGAGTGCTCTACCTCTGACCCACAACCCCAGCCCCAACAAATGTTTGAAAATTGTATTAAATCCCCTGCACTGCCTTAGAAGATTTCAACTGGATTCTTTTTGCTGGCTTGGACCATTGTGCTAGAAAGGACTTGTTAGATGAAGGAAATCGCAAAGGCAAAAAGGATACAGATGAGACCCTGAGTGCTGTTGAACATGGAAACTCCTGAGAAGAAACCGGCCAGCTCCACTGCAAAGAGGGCCAGGGTGACAGACAGTGCTATCACCAGCCTGCAAAGAGAAAAGAGATTGGCTCAGAACTTCTGGACTTCCTCAAGACCCTTTCATTCCCACCAACTCGGGTCAAACCACCCGGCCCCAAGAGCTCACTGAATGTCTTGCTTCTCATATTCCTCAGGAGTGAAACTGAGAGGCAGGCAAGCTTGGATGTTGCTGTCCTGGGAAGCAGGGAAGAAAGGAAGAGAAATGAATGATGGGTGGACTGCGGGGAATGGAAGGATACAAAGGGGCAAGGCCCCAAAGGGGTGAGGCAGGATTGGGGTGAGGCAACTCGGAGAGGGGAAAGGGGGCGAAAGGAGGGAGGGCAGCTGTGTGTCTTACCCGGGACCAGAATAAGGTGATGACGACCACTAGATGCGCCAGAAGTGTCAGGAAGCGAGAGGGCACGAGCCCCGAGATCCGACCCATGGCCTTTGGGGACAGGGGCACGGCCTCAGAGGATGGGAGTATAAAGAAGATCACTCCTAGAGTCTCTGCTAGCGGGCAAAATCTCCGCTTACGCCTACATCCCGCGCGCTCTAGCGCCACCCAGTTGTCTTGGTAACTGCGTAGGCCGGCGCCACGCCCCTTTCTCCGAAAATCTCGCGAGAGGAGTAAACTCACGCGCCGCGGAGGGGAACCTGGATGTCAGTGGTTCGCAGCTACAGCTGCCCTCCGGCGTCGGTTTTGCAGTCTGCGGCTAAGAGTGGACGCTGTAGCAAGCGCCGCACCACCAAATTTGTCCTCTTAGGGCCGGCAAATGGAGACCCGCCCTTACCTCTCCCGGGAACACCCGGCCGGCCTATCCTGATACCCGTGCGGTCTCCTTACCTAGCCCAGGACTACCCTTCGCCTAAGAGTTGCCCGAGACCGCTGCACCTCCACGCCGGCTTGGGTTACCACCATGCCAAAATATGGATACTCTCCCCTTCCCTCATCTGCATCCCTTTGGCTTTCCAATGCCCTGGGCCCGAGAAAGCAAGGAAACTCAACGTGGGGAGTCTGGTGTCCCTAGATTGTCCGGTAGTCATCTGTTATCGTGGAGCTCTTCGTTGTCAATGACCCCAGACCAGAGCCTTCCTTAAAGAAGGCTCTGCTTTCATCCAGATAACTTGGCTTAGTTTGAGGAGGGATTTTTGCCGAGATGCAGGAGACAGCCAATATCCTGGATTTAGAGTGTGAATGAGGTTCGAATTTCGGGAGCGGAGAGGATCACCAGGACCAAAAAGGGAGTGGGGGGAGTGGAGGAAGGGAATAGAAGTCTATTTCAGACCCAACTCGGATTTCATTATCGCTTGGAGGTGCTGGATGCCCGGCGTTGCCCAGCTACAGTCCAAGAACCTCTTATTAAGGACGACCAGAGTAACCTTTGGGCCTCAAGGGGAATCCCTGCGGATTGGAAAGTTCTCACCACTGTGGGGAGCCACTCCAAACTCAGGCATCTTTAAATCCTGATGCACCAGGGGCATCTGAAAGATCACTGTATTCTGGCGCGGTAGTGCCATGACTGGGGTCTTTTCCCTCGCAGAGATAACAAAGCGTGGCCCAAGGAGTAGGCGGCACCCAGAGGGGTTGAGCTACACTCACCAGTTCCCTTGTAATCCTACCCCCTGCCTCATTTGAATGGCTTCTTCCCCATTAAGCGTTCAGCACCCGCTCCTCTTGCTCTTTCCATGGACCCCTAAGGTCAGAGGAGCCATCATCAAAGGACCCAAAGAAAAAGGTACTTTTCTATCTCTGTGTGATTATTTCGTGAAGCTAGTTCACCTGGGGTGACCTGGGTGTTTTAGTCGTGGATTGGGACACACCACGTTCTTTGTTCACATTAGAGTCTCATCCTTAAGGGACCTCTGAGCCTATTTCGGGAGAACAATCGCTCACCTCCCCACTCCCTTTCAGTGCCTTTAAGCCAGACTAAATGACAAACCCAAGAGACATTCTGATTCATTTATTCAACAAATATTTATTGACTATCTAATAAGTGCCAGGCACTGTGCCAGGCTCTTGAAGTTCATTGGCAAACAAGACAAAAGTTCCTACTTTCGTTTAGTTTATATTCTAGGCAGGGAGGTAAACCACAAACATGTATGCAAATAGCAAACCCACAAGGTAAAAGGTGCTATAAATAAAATGTTAAAGAAAAATATTAGAATAATATGATCCAAGCAAGGTTCTTTGAAAATGGAGATTTGTCCTTAAACTGTGTTTTAGGGAATCAGGCCAAAAATGAGAAGAAATGTGTTTCTGACTCTCAAGACCCCAAATAAATAATAAGGGTGAAAAAAATTAGAATGTCTAAAAAAAAATCAAAGCTTTTGCTGGACACATAGGCTGTAATCCCAGCAATTCAGGAGACTGAGGCAGGAGGGTCACAAGTTCAAAGCCAAGTCTCAGCAGCAGTGAGGCGCTAAGCAACTCATAGAGACCCTGTCTCTAAATAAAATACAAAAAGAGGGCTGGGATGTGGCTCAGTGATTGAGTGCCCCTGAGTTCAACCCCCAGTACCCTAAGAAAAAAGATCAAAGCCTTTTGGTCAAGGTCATGAATGAAAAGACTGAGGAGCTCTTCCAAGTCAAGGGAATCTAAAAAGAAATGTCAAATTTGACATCACAACTTTAACATGAAATCCTAAATTAGGGGAAAAAAAAACTTTTTTCTTTTATTATAAAGGACACTATTGGAACAATTGACAATTTTTCAATAAGGTTTGTAGCTTACAAGATAGTATTGCATTAGTGTTACTTTCCTCAACTTATCTGTTTTGTGGTGCTAAGGATCAAACCCAGTACCTCTTGTATCCTTGCTAGGCAAGTACGGTATCACTGAGCTCCCTCAGTTCCAGTTTTCTGATTTTTTTATTATTGCACTGGCTTTAGAACATAAACACTAAAGTACTTAAGGAGCAAATGGGCTCAGAAAAAATTACTCTCAAATGGCTCAGAAAAAAATACAATGAGATGGAAAGACAATGATGAAAAAAACATGGTCTGAGTGAGCTCCCCTGGTCACAGTTTATCAAAGGAAGGAGGCTGTGTCATAGGGCAAGAGTGAAGAAAATCTTTGTATTATCTTTGCAGTTTTTCTGTAAATTGAATTACTTTTCTAAAAAATTGAGGTTGGGTGCAGTGGCTCACAAATGTAATCTCAGCAACTCAGAAGGCTGTGGCAGGGCATCCCAAGTGTGGGGCTAGCCTGGACAACTTAGTGAGACTTTGTCTCAAAAAATAATAAATGTAGCTCAGTGGCAGAGCAATCCTGGGTTCAATCCCCAGTACTATAAATAAATACATAAATACATGAATTTAAAATAAAATTTAAAAATGTTTTATTCTTTTTGCCCCCTTTGATGTTGAGGATTAAATCTAGAGCCTTGCACATGATGTAACCTAACATTGAGGTACATCTCAGCCTCCCTTCTGAGTCTTATGTAGTATCATTATTGAGACACAAAATAACATTATAAAACAAAAGGAATAATTTCTAGCATTGAGGGCCCCTATATTTTCAACTCTTGAATATTGAAACTTTTTTTCCTTGCAATACTGAGGGTAAAATCCAGGGCGTCAAGCATGCAAAGCAAGTGCTCTTCCATTGAACTTACCCCAAATTCCTGTATATTTAAATTATTTAAAGAGATTTTCATATAAAGCCACCTCTTTAGAAGGCAGCACAATCTTTCCCTTATAATGGAGGCAGTGTGATCACCAAAATTATCTTTAATCCTATAAAATAAAAACTGTGAAAATCGAATATTACCCACACAGGTTCTTCAACTTTAGTGTGTGAAGAAATTTCTCTTCTTGACTGTGGAACTCATTCAAAGTTCTGAAAATAATTTCAAATCACCCCCATCTCAGGAAAGACAAACAAAACCATCATGTACAGTGGACAAAACTGCTTTTCTCTTTTACATTTGACTCCTAAAATGAGTGACACTGATACATCTAATTTACAATGAGCCATGCATGTCTCTTATCTTCCAACACAGAAATTAACAGTATAGCAAATATGCAAAGTTTCTTAGGATATAAAAAAGATTAAAAAACTGAAGAGTTTATGTTTTTCTTCCCTTTGTCAGAAACGTATATGCATTTTCTCCTAGGAATCAAAAACCCAGGCTGAACTCCCCTGGTCACAGCTTATCAAAGGAAGGAAGCTATGTCATAGGGCAAGAGTGAAGAAAAWCTTGGACTTGCTTTTGCAAGATTTTCCAAGGTCCCTGAATAAAATAAAGAGAGCCAGCCATGTGAATATCTGGGGAAAAGAGTATTTTAGTCAGAGAGAAGAACAAGTGCAAGGGTGGTGGGAATGAGCCAAGTGTGTTTGTTGAACAGAAAGGAAACCATAGTTTCTGAAGCCTAGTGATGAAAGAGGAACAAAACCCAGGGGTTCTGAAACACTGAGCTACATCCCAGCTCCTTTTAATTTTAATTTTTATTTAATTATTTATTTCTTTTTAATTTTATTTTATTTTGGGTATCTGAACTCAGAGACACTAGACCACTGAGCCACATCCCCAGCTCTATTTTTGAATTTTATTTAGAGCGTGGGTCTCACTGAGTTGCTTAGGGCCTTGCTTTTGCTGAGACTGGCTTTGGACTCAGGATCCTCCTGTCTCAGCCTCCTGAGTTGCTGGGATTACAGACATGCACCACCATACCCAGTGGAGAATAGATTTTAAGATTTGAAGCAGAAGATGAATGAGAAACACCCAGAATTGTCTAGAAAGGACAGGTTGAGGCTTAGACCAGATTGGAGCTAAGAAATTACAGTGAAGTAGGGGGAATCAGTGTAGTCATATTGTATATAGGGTAATCATGTCCGTCATTGCTCTCTCCTTCCCATCTCCATAGCCCATTTCCATAGCCTGCTTCCCTCCTCTCACTCCCCTCTGCACAATCCAAAATTCCTTAATTCCCCCCCCCACCCCTTTTTATTTTTTTATCTTGAGACAGGGTCTCACTAAATTGCCCAGGCTGTCCTCAAACTTGTGATCCTCCTGCCTTAGCCTCTGGAGTCTCTGGGACTATAGGAGTAGCTGGGCTTGCAGGCATGAGCCCCTGCACACCACCCAGCGTGTTGTTTTTAAGATTCGTACACATAGTGTGTCAGTATTTCATTCCTCTTGATGGCTGAATAACATTCTATACATGCATGTGATCACACTTTATTTATTTAAGCCATTCATCAGTTGGATGTTGGATTTGTTTCTGCCTTTAGGCTACTGTGAATAGTGCTACTGTGATCATGTACAGGTATTTGAGTACCTGTTTTTAGTTCTTTGAGGAATAAACATCAGAGTAGAATTTCTAGGTCACCTGGCAACTCTGTTTAACTTTTTGAGTAACTTGCAAATTGTTTTCCACAGTGATTGTACCATTTTACATTTCCACCAGCAATATGTGAAAGTTTAAGTTTCTCAAYATATTTATTAAGACTTACCTTCTTTCTTTTTTCTTCTTCCTTTCCTTCTTAAATTCTAGCCATGCTAGTGGGTGTGAAGTGCTAACATTGTGAGTTTATTTAT